TTTTATCAAATTTAAAAATATTTAATAGAGATTTTTTAAATTTTATTTTTTTGTAAGATCTACTTGATACCAATAATATGCCACGTATTTTTTTTATATATTTAATAAATAATTTTTTAAATATTTTTTGACTTACTTGATATTAAAATCATGTAGTTATGTTATGTATTAAGTTATTTGACTCCTTTTTTTTTTTGCTATCTATTTTTTTTAATATTTAATATTTAAAAAATATTTTTAAATTTTTTAATATAAGGCCATTTGATATGATTAGTTAAAATATTTATTTTTCTTTTATTAAATCCAAATAATCTCTAAACAAAAGACAATAATATTTTCAATTTCAAGAAATTAAAAATTTCTTCCTTAAAATCAATCTCATATACAAAATTTTTTCATAAGAAATTCTTTCATAAGTTGTTGTTGTAGCAAAGATACAACAATTATTTCTCCAATATTTCTAGCTATCTTTGAAGTAGGTATCATTTTACTTTATGAGTTAATAGATTTCATAAATAGAGGTGAAGAGATAGATAAAACAATAATCTATAATTTTACAACAATTGAGTTATAATCTAAAATATATAACTTTATAACAAATATAATCATTATAATAAATTTATACTTATCTCTTCCAATAATTTTTTACATTCAACCTTAGGATCATAATCATACATCTTATTCACTATAAGTTTAGTACTATTTGTCTTAAGATTATACATAGTTGCTCTCATCTCGAACACGTAAATTTTATCTAAAAAATCTTCAAATATCTCTTAGATTTTATAATCTTCATTTTTCTAAATCATAAGTATAAATATAGCATTTAATTAATTTGAATATTAAATACTATTAAACAAACTTTAACTCAGCACCTAAACAGATATTTCATAAAGATCATTAATATATCTATTAATTAAATCGTTAGCTTCTGTATTGAACTATATGAATATCATCTTTTCAAAATTATCATATACCTCAATATTTAACTTGTACCTATAAAAAAGGTAAAATTCTATAATTATAAATATAATATAATAATTTAAAATACTTTTTTTCTCATGATAGAATAATAATTTTTTTTATGTTTCAAATATAAATATAAATACAAGTTACCTTGAAGTTGGATTAGGGACATCAACCGTGCATGAATAATATTGAAATTTCCCATCAATTTCAAATAGTTTTCTTGTTACACCTATATGGCATATGGTATCAACCAAAAGTGATATCAACTTTTATGATAGTGACTCTACTGCTGAAAGACTTTCCCTATATATATCAAATTATCTTTAAATCAATAATCAATAAAAAAATATTAAAAAAAGAAAGCTAATATCATAGCTAAAGAAATATAAAAATATTAGTATAAAAAGAGAAAAACCTTTGAGTAGTAGAGACCAAGAAACGATGCAAAGTGAAAATTAGAGAAAATTTGAAGTAGAGTTAATTAATGATCAAAAAATATAAAATTAGTGAAATGTGATCAAAGATGCATTATGCTTAACTTAAAGCTACTTATACAAAAAGTGTATTGTAGGTTAATTAATAAGATAATTTTAAATTATGAAAGTTAATATTGAAATAATAAAAATAGTAAGTGAATAATGGTCTAACAATAACAAGTTGATTAATATTAAAAGATTTTATTTGGCCATTAAGATTTAGATATCACTTAATTTAGAACAATAAAATAAAATAAATTTATTTTATCTAATAAAGACAATAAAATAAAATAAATTTTTATTAAATTAACGTGCATTAATATCTAGATTTTAAAATTATAAAACGTTACCAATGAAATCAAATGAAATCTAAATGCATTAATATTTTATCAAATGAAATCAAATGTGCATTAGTATTTTGCTAAATGAAATCAAATGAAGTCATATTTAATGAAATATAAATCTATCAATCAAATATAAATTAATAAAATTTATTCCATTAATTTAATTATGGAGAATTAATTTGATATATTTACTTTTTATATTTACACAGAAAATACATCGATTATTCAAATAGATACTATATTTAATCAAATATAAATATATCAAATAATTTATTAGAGAATCAATTATTTTATAATTCTAATTGTAGTAGTTATTAAATTATTAATTAATTATATATTGATTTATTTAATTTGTTAAATTAAAATTTTTTTAAATTTTTAATACTTTTAATATGAATTGAATTGAGAGTGATTTAAAGTGAATAATAAAAGCATAAATATATTCAATTAATAAGATAATTTTAAATTATTAAAGTTAATATTGAAATAATAAAATTTACAAGTGAATAATGGTCTAACAATAATAAGTTGATTGATGTTGAAATATTTTATTCTGTCATTAACATTTAAAGATCTTTTAATTTAGAATAATAAAAAAATTAAATTTATTATATTTAATAATGGCAAATGAAACAAATTAAATTTTAATTAAATCGTCGTGCATTAATATTAAATAATAAAATTATAAAATATTACAAATGAAAACAAATAAAATCAACATGGATTAATATTTTATCAAATGAAATCATATTTAATGAAATGTAAATGTATTAATCAAATATAAATTCATAAAATATTTTATTCCATTAATTTAATTATGAATAATTAATTTGATATATTTGCTTTATATATTTACATACATTATGAAATACATCAATTATTCAAATGGATACTATATTTAATCAAATATAAAATGTATTAAATAATTAATTAGAAAATCAATTATTTTATAATTATAATTATAGTATTTATTAATTTATTAATTATATATTGATTGATTTAATTTGTCAATTTAAGAAAATTTTAAAATTTTAATACTTTTAATATGAATTGAATTGAGAGTGATTTAAAATCAATATAAAATATAATCAATCTAGTTTTTTAAATTATATTTGCTTTATATATTTACACATAAAATACATCAATTACTGAATACTATATTTAATCAAATATAAATGTATCAAATAATTGATTAGAGAATCAACTATTTTATAATTGTAATTGTAGTATTTATTAATTTATTAATTATATATTGATTGATTTAATTTGTCAAATTATGAAATTTTTAAAAATTTAGTACTTTTTAATATGAATTGAATTGAGAGTGATTTAAGATTAATAATAAAAATAAAAATAAAAAATAATTAATTTAGTTTTTTGAGTTATTTTTAAATAAAATAAAATATATTTATCATGTGTAGCGTGATGATTTTTAAAACAATTCACATATCAACATTTTAAGCCATCCACATAGGATTTTTTTCATTTTTGCCAAAAGCTTTGGCTTTTATATATTTATATAAGAAAATCAAATGAAATCATATTTAATGAAATATAAATGTATCAATCAAATATAAATTAATAAGATATTTTATTCCATTAATTTAATTATGAAGAATTAATTTGATATATTTACTTTATATATTAACACTTGAAATACATCATGAAATACATTAATTACTCAAATGGATATTATACTTAATCAAATATAAATGTATCAAATAATTAATTAGAGAATCAATTATTTATAATTATAATTGTAGTATTTATTAATTTATTAATTATATATTGATTGATTTAATTTATCAAATTAAGAAATTTTTAAAATTTTAATACTTTTAATAGGAATTGAATTGAGAGTGATTTAAAATCACTAATTAAAACATAAATATAATCAATTTAGTTTTTTTGAATGATATTTGCTTTATATATTTACATATGAAATACATTAATTATTGGATATTATATTTAATCAAATATAAATGTATCAAATAATTGATTAGAGAATCAACTATTTTATAATTGTAATTGTAGTATTTATTAATTATATATTGATTGATTTAATTTTTCAAATTAAAATTTTTAAAATTTTAATACTTTCAGTATAAATTGAATTGAGAGTTATTTAAGGTTGATAATAAAAATATAAATATAATCAATTTAGTATTTTGAATTATTTTTAAATTAAAAATGTATTGAATAAAATAAAATACATTTATTAAATGTCACATGATGCTTTTTAAAACCATTAACATGTCAACATTTTAAGCCGTTTACATATGATTTTTTCTATTTTTGACAAAATCTTTGGCTTTTATATATTTATATAAGAAAATCAAATGAAATAATATTTAATGAAATATAAATGTATCAATCAAATATAAATTAATAAAATATTTTATTTTATTAATTTATTTATGAAGAATTAATTTGATATATTTACTTTATATATTTACACATGAAATACATCAATTACTCAAATGAATATTATATTTAATCAAATATAAATGTATCAAATAATTAATTAGAGAAACAACTATTTTATAATTGTAATTATAGTATTTATTAATTTATTAATTATATATTGATTGATTTAATTTGTCAAATTAAGAAAATTTTAAAATTTTAATACTTTTAATATGAATTGAATTGAGAGTGATTTAAAATCAATAATAAAAACATAAATATAATCAATTTAGTTTTTGAATTTATATTTGTTTATATATTTACACATGAAATACATTAATTACTGATACTATATTTAATTAAATATAAATATATCAAATAATTTATTATTGAATTAATTATTTTATAATTGTAATTATAGTATTTATTAATTATATATTGATTGATTTAATTTGTCAAATTAAGAAATTTTTAAAATTTTAGTAATTTTAATATGAATTGAATTTAGAATGATATAAGGTTAATAATAAAAACATAAATATAATCAATTTAATTTTTTAAATTATTTTTAAATTAAAAATATATAAAATAAAATAAAATATATTTATTAGATGTTATGTATCGATTTTTAAGGTCATCCATACGTCAATATTATAAGCCGTCCACATCATTTTTTTTTTTTTTTGCATTTTGGCCAAAAGTTTTCGCTTTTATATATTTATATAAGATGATGTTGGAGTGAGTTAATTGATAAAGATGATAAAATAATTAATATTTGATAGATTTTTGTCTGTATCAACTCAATATGAATGTTTTGTAAAAAATCGATATTAAATCAATTGGAGATAAGATGGCAATTTACATACAGGCATCATCTTCATTTGGTTTTTAATATCTTTTGCCATTTTTTTATTTTTTAAAAATTAGATAAATTTTTTAACAAACAAACCGATGAATATGAATACTAAAACAAAAAAATTTTGACCTGTAACAAGATACTCTCCTAGTATCTAAAAAACTTGATTAAAATTGAAACTTTTCCATTTTTTTATCCTATCTTGTACAGAACTGAACTCTGGTCTGATCTCTCCGACGACTTTCTGGGCTGGGTTGGAGTTTGTCCTGTCTTTGGGTTGTACTGATTTTTAGTCTTTGGGCTTTCCTTTGCTTTCTGCCGGTCTTCAATGGCAGCATTGAACGGGCTGTAGTCTTTTTTCGGCCACGGACTGGCCGTACTCCACTTTATTTAGATTTTTTTTTTTTGAAAACGTCAAGAAAAGGATAACATAACAACAAAAATTTGATTTGCCAAAAAAAAAAAAAAAAGAAATGGTCGGTACGAATATTGATTCACTCTGGTGATGGAATCGAACTTTCCCGCTCTCTCGGCCCATCATAAAATGAATTTTCCGTTTGTTTTTCGTGAGAATTCTCTTATTTGTCCAATGGAAGACACTGAGATCACCTTAACCCGCTTCAAGTAACCGAAATCCACGAGTAAATGTTCAACAACTTCATTGAACGGAGACTCTCGTCTCTTTTTGTCCATGGCTGGGACGAGATCTCGAGCTATACCTCCATTTAGGTTCATCAATTCCTTTGTCATCGCCAAAAACCTCCGTCTTGACAAGTTAGCTCTCAACTGCCAGATCATCGGCGGTTCATCTTCTTCGCGGTTCTTTTTCGAAGAATTTGTCATCGAAGAGTTCGTCGTTCGATTCTCTAATTGGTCAGATTCTGCCTTCACTTTTGAAGCTTGTCGAGTCAAGGTTACTCTGTCGTATGAGTAAGCCACATCACAACGGTGTGGTCCGTTGGACATAGATTCAAAATTTCAATTCTTTGCAGCTTTTCTTTATTTATCGGATTTTTTTAATTATGTATATTCTTTTTTGAAGGGAAATTGAAGAGGAAGGTACTGGAAAGGTTTGGAAGTCGAGCAATGCGGCGTTGGAGAGTTAGAAGAAGGATTTGTTCGTGATGGATCCCGAGGTTTTTCTTTTTTCCATTTTTTGGCGTTATTTTTGTATGGATTTTAATTGCTTTGAACTAAATCGTGTTTCTTAGTTGCACCTGACAGGAAGAATAATAACTGATGAAACTCTGGCTTTTTACTTATGAATTACTAAACTCATAAAACGTAATTAGTAATGACTATATATTCCATCCGGGGAAGTGTTATAGCTGGGGCGAAAGTGGTGGAGTGAGTAGCATTATTCATTCTCTTGTTAACATTGAATTTATGTAAGAGTTAATTTCTTATTATTATTATTAGATGCCTTTATTTCAATTATATACTGTTCTTGAAATTTGTTCCTTACTGCTTAATTACTTTTAAACTTAGAGTTTAGCATCTCTATACCTCTTCGTGCTCAATTGGGATGATATATGATTTTATCATTGATCTCATTGACACTGCAATTAAGAGGTTTTTTTCTCCCTACTTGATATGAAAAACTTGGCCTAAATAACTTAGGCGTATTTCCATACCAGGATAGTATTCCACATGATGTTCTGGAAGCAATATTGGCTACCACTTGTAGGAGAAATTGGGTTAAGTCTTCTTTTTGAATCTCATTGCTGTCTGCAGATTCTTAGCATTAATTTGCAAGTACAATTCCCCACCTTAAATGATTCCTTTGCATATCTGTTGGATTTAGAGGAGCTTAATGAAGAATCTTTACATTTTGTAATGGGTGTCTTTGCAGAGGGCTTGTTAATGTGCTCTTTCTACCTCTGAAGGAGGGATCTTTGGTTATCAGTGGTTTTTGCTTTAAGATAGGGTATATAAAAAGCAATCAAATTAACCTTGTTTGTTCCTCTGATACACTGGTTGCTTGTATCAAATTAAACAATCTCATACTTGTAGAGTTCAATCGTCATACTCCAGAAGTCACTTTCTTATTTTTTCCAGTTGACTTTCCTGTTTTTATGGCACTTGATAATGTGTCCTCAAAAGAATCTGAGCGGGTCAGAAATGGTCAGCATTCGTGGAGACTAGCAGCAATTAAAATAGGCCATGTGATTTCAGCTCCCAAATTCTCATGGTACAAACCAATTGCTCTTAGGCAATGGCATTAGGGCCTAAGTTTGCAATTCTATGGATTTTGGAGTACTTATTTTGATTGATATTAAGATATTAGCATTCAAATTCCATAATGAGAGAGTTCGATTATATGATAAAAGAGTAATGATGTGTATGTAAGTGAAGTGACTTTGGTTTATTTTTATGAGATAGATAGTCTAAGCTTAAAGATTGTTGTAGAGAATTATTTTTATTTTTGGAGATATTTTTGGGATATAGGTCAAAATTTCAATTTATAGAGATTTTTGGAGTTTTTTTGAAGGATGTAAGTGAATCTTTGATCATGATTTTAATTGTGCTTGCTCAAAGTTAAAGTATGAAATATCAGAGTTGTCATGAGATAATATTTTGAAACCCTTGAGGTATTTATTGATAGTAATATTTGTGAATTGCCTTGGTTGATTTTGTTTTCAATTTTACACTTGTGGTGAATTGGTATTATGATGCATAAAAGGATATTTTCTTATTTTGGTGTGGCTTTGGTTTCAGTGAATAAGCATCTAAAACTTTGATAAGAAGTGATAATTCAGGCATTTGTTGAAGTTCAATCATTACATGCCTATTTTGGAGTGCTATGAATTTGTAATCGGCCAGAGTGATTTAAGTTGTAATTATAGTTTCAAATCGACACACCTTATAAGATTTGTTTGAATAATATTTAGTGGCATAAGGCATATGTTACAGTTTTGCATGTAAAGGCTAAGATTATGGTCAATGAAAGGTTTTATTGAAGAAGTTGATTTGAATGAGTAATTTGAGTTACAAAGATTTGTTTTGCTAAGAAACTTTGATATGCTATCAGTAAATATAGCCTTCTATATTTTGTAATATTGAGCATGGATTCAATTTTGAGGTATTTAAGGAAACCTATGGTATTATCTGATGCATTTGGTTATTGTTTGTAGCTGTACTTTTGACATGAATTTGAGTACGTATTGGTTGAAACCTTTTCATTAAAGGATTTTCCTTATTGTACATAGATTTACTTCGATTTGGAGTTATGATAATATATTTGATTAAAGGAAAATTTGAGCTATTATGATGTTTATCAGTTTTGTAGTGCAACTGTTATTTGATAAGTAATTTATGAAATTTGAAAATGAATAATATTTGAATTTGGATACAACTTTGGCACTCAAAGAGTTATCTTTGAACCTTTTTGGTGTAAAACTTATGGTTATGATTTATTTTATAGGTTTGACCTTTATTATAGTTTTATAATGTTTAAATTGATAAGAAATATTTGATAGTTAGTGAGACAATAAATGAAAAAGAAAGTAATGTTAGTATGTGTTTTTGAGGTAACTAGATGATTTGTTTACATTGTTATTCAAATTTAAGTTTTATATGGCTAAAATTTCTTTGCATGAGTTGAAAGTTTTTCCCCAAGAGATTTTATGGAAATGTGATCATGTTTGGTGTAAGATAAGACTATAAAGTGAATTTTGTTGTGTTTTTTGAGGTTATATTTGGATGAAATATAAGAGTGCGCATTGGAAGCACAATTATTTTAAGCTATGAATTTGTGGTCTATTGTTAATTTAGAAAGCAATTTATTTTTAATAAATGGAGAATAATGAATTTGTAGATGTAAAGATTATGGATTTTGATACTTAAGACTTGAAGAACTTATCAAAATTGTGAAATTGTGGCATGTTTTGTTAGGTTTGATCTTGTTAGTAAGAATTGTTTGTATAAAATCATAATTGCATTGAGCCATTGATGTAATTTTGCTTGGTCATGATTGAGATGTATGTATTTTACATATTTTTGAAGCCAATGGAATTTCAGAGAACTTAACTTTTGATAACTGCATCTTGTTTGGTGACAAATTTGAGATTGAAGATTGGGAATGTTTGTTGTATAGGATTTGGAGTGAAATTCATTTTGATTTGATTATTAGATAATCTATTATGAGGAGTTTCATAGATGCTTTTTGCACAACACAAGATGATTTGTTTTAAGAGAATAATTGTATGTTACATTTGTTTGAGAGATGGATAAACTTTGAGTTCATGAAAATTTGAATTTGGAATACCAAATTCTTTCAAGTGGAGGAGTATGTAATACCAAGCCCAAAAGGCCCTAGATTAATAAATAAAATGGATATTTGGTTAAAGCCCTTAAACCTATACATGGAGTTCAAAAAAAAAAAAAAAACAAAAGAAAACAAAAGAAAACTATTGCTAGACAGTTTTGGTTCTAGCAAACAAACCAAATTGGGGAATAATTGAGGAAACCCTAGAAGAGAAAGAGACAATGGAAATTGAGCAAAATTCCCCTCAATGGGTGGATTAAGGTAAGATTTAGTCCCTGATGAGACAATGGACTTGGTATGATGCGGTCTTGTACAAAATTTGCTGCAGAACAGGCAGCTTAGGATTAGAGCAATTATCTTGTTTGAAATTGGACTTTGGAACCTTTAAATGGTATGAGCTTTTTTTACTACCAAAATTTCCACCTACCATGTGAAGTTTGGCATGTTTTATAGACCATGTGACATTATAATGGAAGAAATATGAGGCTAAATCAAAATTTGTGCTCCAGGGTGTAGCTTCTGTTCCTTTAATTTAGAAAACTAAAGGTTCTTATGAGGAAAATTAAAAAAGCTGATGTTTATATTTTGTGGATATAAAAGAGCTCACATTCAAGGTATTTAGATTTTGACAATTTTTTTGAACTATATATCTAGATAACTAGCCTTTACAACAAGTTCAAATTTTTGACTTGCTGAAATTGCCTTATTGATAGGGGGATGCTCTACCAGAATAAACTTGTGACCATAAATACTTAAAAATTAGTTGTCTGTATTTAAGATTTCTTTGTTTTCCTTAGAATAAGTTACTTTTGATATTGGATGACAATGGCCATACTGAAGATTTTTTAATTCTCCCTTCTGCCATTGTTTATTTGCTAAGTATAATGAAGATAATGTTGTCAGCGGTTTGGGAAAAGGGAGGAAAAGAAGGACAAAAGAGGGGGGAGGGATGAAGCAATAATCTGTTTGTTTTTCCTTTCTTTGCATCTTGTTTGATTCTTTGAATTTGATTTAAATTCTTATAAGGTTTGTGTGGTTGTTTATAATGCGCAGGTATATTCTTATTTTCTTTTAGACCTGAAATTTCAAATGACTTGATACAATCTGATACTCCACTTCCAGTTGAGTTGTCAGATTATATTAAAGGATTTAAACAAGAGTGCAATAATTTCTTATACACCAGTTGCAATTGCAAGGCTTCAGAATATTAGTCTGGAGTCTGTGTTCGCTGACCAACAAAAATATAACCAGATTGTTGCACAGGTAAAATATTTCCATGCGCTTGATGCCTTGATATGTGTTAATGATTTAAATGAATATTCACTTTCACAGTTTGGAATATTAATAGCTCCTCGATTTAACCACCAATTAATCATGGACTGTTGATGTGAAGTGGACGGGAGCTCCTTTTGCATCAATGCTTCGTAGACATCCATTAGACTGCAGTGATGCAAATGATAGCATACTCAAATTGTATTTGACTTTTGCATCTAATGATGCAAATGATAGCACACTTAAATGAATATCCGTTAGACTACATCAAGTTAAATATTCATCTGTTATTCTACAGGTATAACAAGACAGTCCATATCTAGCTTTTTTTTGTCTTTCCTGAACCTATATAGCCTTTGTTCCTTTTGTTTCCGTTTGCTAGAAACTATTGGAGGTGATAGCTGCAGATAATTGATGATAGCTAAGTTTTGAAGGAGCTATTTACATCCATGCAATGACTACAGCAGCTCTGATTTTTTAGCTCTCTCTTACACAGCCAAATGATTTGAATCTTGATGGGGATACTTTGATGAAAATCGTCTCAGTTTGGAGAACATCTCTTAGTGACTCAAATGCTCCGAGTCAGCAGTTCTATTTTGATCATTTTGGGATCCACCCAATAAAGGTACTATGCTTTTGCTTCTATTATATCTTGACACAGTCTTAACTACCACATTAGTTGAAATCTATCTTGTACTTACAGATTATTGCTACCTTTGTTCCTGGGGAGTCCTATTCAAGCTATAATTCAGCCCAGGAAGCTCTGAGAACATTGCTACATAGTGTGGTAAAGTTGTGACCAGGGTGCTATGCTCTCTCTTATTATATGCTTGACTGATTTTGCTCATTCTTAGATAGCGAAACATGTGTTCTTTGGTGTCAGGTTGAATAGGTCATTTACTTGGTTTTTCCTCTTTCTTTTGCTTGTATAGGTTCCTCCTATAAAAAGGATGGTTGCTGAACTAAATGGGGTCTTAGTTAATCATGCTTTGGTAACAATTAATGCATTTCATGGTAAGATCTGGGTTTATTTTTTGCTTGTCTTGTGACTATATGGTATCTTTACTTTCAGAAGGATATAATTGACCAGGTTTGCCATGAAGTCCATTTCCATTGCTAAAGGCAGCCAATTACTACCCCAGCTTTAGCATTGACTTTTGATGAGTTAGCTACATTTTCTCTTGGTATCCTTTTTTGATCTTTCTCAAGGCTCGATGAATCCTCCTGGTTTCAAAAAGGGTATCTTTTCTATGTGGTTTGTAAGTTTGTTCACTCAAGTTTTCCTTTCTTGTACGGGTTCACCCCACTCTGGGAATTAATAATGGCATCTACGATATTTGTTTTTCATTATATGGATGCATGATTTGTTTGGGCATACGAGAAGGTCATGATTTCTGTTAAAATTAAGGTTTTAGAGAACAACTTACTAATCCATTGGATTAGCCTGTCATTATATAGACATTAAGGAAAGGGAATCAATTACGAATTACACATTAATGCTCTTAATTAATCCCTCATTAACTGTCTCCCATGGAATATTCTCATAATATTCCAACTCACCCACATGCATACACTAACATTCCTCGTCAAGCTAGAGCAAATATATCAATCATGCTCAACTTGTTACATACAGTCAGCTTGAACTCCTGGAAGTGATTTTGTAAGAATATCAGCTAGTTGTTCTCCCGTGCGCAATGATTCAATAATATTGTTCCGCTCTGTAACTTTTCCCTAATGAAATAACAGTCAACTTTTATATGCTTGGTTCTTTCATGAAATACTGGATTGGAAGTAATATGAATTGCCGTCTAATTATCACCCCATAGCTTTGTAGGGGTTCGAACTGAAAGCCCAATTTCATCTAAGAATTTAGTCATCTATAATACCTCAGTTGTAGCCAAAGCCATGGCTTTATACTCTGCTTTTGTGCTAGACCTAGCAACTATTGGTTGTTTCTTGCTTTTCTAAGACACCATATTACTCCCGATGAAGATATAGCATAACCAGATATAGACTTCCTATCTATGGAAGAGCTTGCCAATCTACATCTAAATAGTCTCGAACACCTTCATCACTAGTAGAATTGTAGAGTATCTCTTTTCCAAGATTTCTCAACAAATATCGAAAGATATGCATCATTACTCTCTAGTGAGTATCTCTAGGAGCTGTCATGAATTGACTAACCATACTCACTGAAAAAGATATATCAGGTATCGTCATGGTCAAGTAATTCAGTTTTCCAACTAGTCTCTTGTAAGGTGTAGGGATCATCAAGTAAAGCCCTATCTTTTGGATAAAGCTTAATACCTGGATCCATTAGTGTGTCACTCGGCTTGGCATGGAACAAGCCTACATCTCTCAAAATATCCAACACATACTTCTTCCAAAATACAAAGATTCCCTTTTTACACCTTGCTACTTCAATACTCAAAAAATATTTCAATTGACCAAGATCTTTGGTCTCAAACTGGGACTTAAGATACATCTTAAGTCTATCAATCCCTGCATTATTATTGCTAGTGATGATGATAACATATACATACACTCCCAACAATATAAGGCCAGAACTTTGTCGTATATAAAACACCGAATGATCATTCTCACTCTGTTGCTTGCCATACTGAACAAGTGCGACACTAAATTTGCCAAACCATGTGTGTGGAGATTGCTTCAGGGTATACAGAAACCTACGCAAACAGCACACCTTTCCAAACTCCCTCTAAGCAACAAACCCTAGTGGTTCTCTATATATACCTTCTCAGCCAAGCCAACATGTAGGAAAGCATTCTTCACAACCAACTGATGTAATGCCTATTTATGTGTAGTAGCAAAACTAAGAAATTGGTGAATAGATATCATTTTTGTCACTGGTGAAAAAGGTATCAAAATAATCTCTTCCATATGTCTGCACATATCCCTTCACTACTAGCCTTGCATTTATAGTTGGCTTCTAGGGCCATCATCTCATCCCTCATAGCCTTATGCCATCCTAAATTTGCAAAAGCATCACGAAGAGTACGTGGCACAATAATAGCATCAATTGTGGCAATACAACTCTAAAATTGAGTAGAAAGTCCTTTGTACGAAGGTGTATATAAAGAAAAATTTTTGCAAGTTCACGTACTTTTTCCTAGAGCAATCTGTACATCTTTTGCCATAGTGTCTCGATGTGGATCCATCGACAGAGAGACTATCTCGATAGGGAAAGTTTCTGCAGGCGAATATATGCAGGTCCTTTTATCTAGTGTACATACGACCAAATAAAGTATCGGGGCATGCTGTAAAAGGAGATGCATTGACTGGTGTACTATGTATCTTATAAATGAGAAAATTTTTTTTTTTTTTAATATGATAGGTGATGGATGAGATTGTAGTACCGAAAAAAAAGGAATCGACTCATGAAATGCAACATCTATCAAAATAATAAAACGACCTTGGTCTAGAGAGTAGCATCGATACCCTTTTTGGACAGGTGAACAATCTAGGAAGGTGCACTTAAGGGAACATGGTTCTAATTTAGTGCGACCCGGATACGTGTCATGAACAAAACATGTGCACCAAAACACTTTGAGGGAGATTGGAAATAAGGGATGATTAGAATACAATACTCGAAAAATAAATTTTCTTTCAAGGATCGAGGACGGTAAACGATTTATCAGATAGCTGTGCTCACTCCAAAATACCTTTGGGACCTTCATTTGAAACAAAAGAGCTCTAGCCATTTCCAACAAATGACGATTCTTCCAACTCCATTTTGCTATAGGTATTTGTACACGAGGATTGATGAATAATACCTTTTGCATTTAGGAATTGAACAAACTTTATAGAAAATTACTCTATTCCATTATCACTTCATAAAATTTTGATAGACTTATCGAATTGATTCTCTATTTTTGCATGAAAGGTGGTGAGGACAGATAATAATTCGAAGCAGTTTCGCAACAAATACAACCAACAAACTCGTGAATAATTATCAACAAATGTCACAAAATATTTATAATTAGATTTCAAAATAATAGGACAAGGCTCCCACACAAAATGAATCACGGCAAAAGAAAACTTTTCTTTTTTATTAAATCGAGGTCGATAGGACACTTTGTACAGTTTGGCAAACTTGCATGATTCACAATCAAAATTAAAAGACGATAAATGGGGACACAGTTCGTAAAGTTGACATGGATGGATGACCAAAACGACAATGAGACTCATAAATTGATGACAATTCTCCTGAGCATGTCATTAGTCCAGACTATATCTTCTGTATATCATCAAGCACATAAAGACTTTCGATCCTTCCCCTACCAATAGTCTGTTTCGTCAATAGACCTTGAAAAACACAATAAGTAAGAAAGAAGGAGACACTACAATTCAAATTTCTTGTAATCTGACTAAATGAAACTAAGTTAAAAAGAAAAGAAGGGACATGCAACACAGAATTTAAAGGTAACATGGATATAGGTGGAACCTTGCCACTTCTCACAATATCTATAGAGTTTCCATCAGCAACCAAAAAAGATTGTTCTCCCGTCATAAGAGTATATGAATAAAGAGTACCTGTAGTACCTGTCATGTGATATGAAACTTTTGAATTAATTACCTAAGTCATGGAGGGGGTAGCCAGGCATGCAGTAGATTTACCTTGTATAAAAGTTATCGGAAAGGAGATCGAAGTTTGATTCTAAAGCATCGAAATAGACTTGTCATACTCAACTAGTGATAACTGAACTCCCTTCTCTTTTGCTATTGGGGCTAAAGCGTAGCATCAGTTACATATGTCGCTGGTGGGCCAAAATTACCCCAAAGATGCGGACAAAGATTTCGTGTCTTTGTTGTACACAATGATAGCGGGACCGTGGATCTCCTCTACCACTTTCACGTCCTCTACCTCGTCTACCATGTCCTTGGCGTGGTGTTCCCCCTTTCACATTATAGGGCCACAAATACTGTCGTCTTCCTGTGGAGTATCATGCTGGGTGACCCTATTCAGGCACTTATAAGCATCCAGTAAAGAAAATGGATCTCTGCCTACTAACATCTGAGTACTAGCACTAGCATACTCTTTCCTCAATCTTGCTAAGAAAAACACTACAGTTAGAGCCTCTCATTGCTCTTGGTTTGTCTTTAGATAGGTAGACAATGGCATGAGTTCATTAAACTTGTCATATATGTCCTTGAAGGTTTGTCTTCAGATAGGTAGATAATGGCATAAGTTCATTAAACTCGTCATATACCTCATTGAACACAACAAAATATTCCCGTAGGCTCCTATCGGATTACTCCATTCTAGTCCATGCCCTGGTAACATATGGATTCTCTACCAATTCTTAGAATTTGCATAAACAATTTTTAAAGCATCCTAAAGTTCTTTACTTGTGAGGTATTATTTTGAACATTATCTTTACTTGTCATTCCATCGAGTTGAACAATTGTCCAAGTACTTAATTGTCTTCTCGCTCCCACGTTGCATACTCTAAGCTTTCCTTTGTTGGTTGCTCACTTGTCAAAAACTGAGCCTTTCCAAGACCTCGTAAGGTCACCAACACAGTCTTGCTCCATGACAAGTACTTGGAGCCATCAAGTTTTTCATCCGACAGCCATGAGCCCATGATAGTCTCCTGAGTTATAACCTTCAATGTGGTTGCTTCTTTCTGGGCCATGGCCACAGTACTTTCTTCCTCTAGAACACAACTAGTAATCCTTCAATCAGGGAACACAACCCCTAATCAACAATTAGGAACTTTGTCCCTAGTTCTGCCGCCATGCTTTACACCAAAGACTTATCTCCCTTAATCTATCATTCATGAAGAGGTTGTAACTCCTTGTTGCCTTTAAGCATAAGGGGGTAACTCTTTTCAACTAATGAGGGATCGCCAAAAAAGAAGGAAAGGTTTTAAGTACGTATAGGGTTGTGGGATCAAAGTCTGTAATAGTAACGGTTTGGATGACAATGTAGGGTTTATCGCATAAGGGTTTGGGGAAAGAGAGACAAATAAGGGGACGACAGCGGCTAGGATTGCGTTGTTGGCTCTGATACCATGTTAAAATTAAGGCTTTAGAGAACAACTTACTAATCCATTGGATTAGCTTTTCATTATACAGACAATACTAAAGAAAGAGAATTAATCACAAATTACACATTAATGCTCCCAATTAATCCCTCCTAAAATGTTTCTCATGGAATATACCCATAATATTCCAACTCACACACATGCATAAACTAACAATTTCCAGATTGTAGGCTCAGGAACTGCACCATTGAAAAACTAGTTGGTAATTTCATTTTCCATGTTTGCACTAAGAGTAAGAGAAGTGTAAAAGGTTCATAGCTTAGTTCAGGGTACTTTTCTTTTTAAGGTTCTATTTTCAGATATATTTATGTTAGTCATATATTATGAAAGAGTTAGCCTCACAAACCAATCCTACTTCTTGTCTTAATTGTGGTTATTTGTAAGTTGAGATATTTTATTTCTGCTTTGGGCATCATGCACAGGTACCTTCAAATTCATTAGTAAATGTTTTAATGGTAAAGGGTCTTAAGAACAAAATATATCTAGTTAGGAATATGATCTAGGTAAAATTGTAAGTATTCTATACCCTCAATTAGGAATATGATTTTTTTCTAGTTTTCTCTGCAATTACCTAAGCTATTTCTATGCCAACTCCGCAGCTGACAACAGTGGGGTCTAATGTAGTCTTTGCTACTGTTTTTGAAATATCTGACTCTGTTCTTAAGGGGGCAGAAACAAGTGGTTTCGACGTGATGCTAACAGTCAATCTGTCATTTTGAATATGTTTTCATAACACAACTTTTCTAGTTTATTTTCTAGCTATTACTTAAAGATTGGAGAAATACAGTATAACTTTAATTGTTAAAACTGACAGTTGACTGTTTATATTAATCTCAAGGTGAGTGGTTTTCAACAAGGAATCACTCTTGGGTACACAGCTTTGATGAGGGGTGGGCCAGACAGCAAAATCAAGCTTGATAGGAGCCCTGGGGTTGATGAGGTAACAACTCTGTTTTTGTACTCTAATTCGATATCACATTGTTTTGTTCGAGTCACCTCCTTTTTACCGTAATGAAAGCAGTTCATTTATTTCCTCCCTTAATTGACAAACAGTACTGTAAACACTCAATTTGGTCCAAGCCCGAATTAATTGGGCCTGGTCCAAATGGATAAGTCTATATTTTTTATTTCTTCATTTTATTTTTATTTTTTGTATTTTACATTTTTATTTTATTTTTATTATTATTATTTTATATATGTATATATATTTTTTCTTTTATTATTATTTTTTATCTTAGGTATTTATGTATTTATTAATATGTATATATCTTTATTTTTATTATTATTTTTTCTCTTTTTTTTCTGTTAATATTTATGTAATTATCTGTTATTTAATTTTAATTTATCTGTTAAGTTTTTTTATTTATCTGATTTATTTTCGTTTGATTTTTTTTATTTTTTTTTATTTATCTGGCTAGAAATTGGATTGGGATTCAATCAGAAGAGTCCATGTTGGATTTAATGATTGAATCCCGATCCAAAGAGGAATTGGGATTTGATTAGAAATTCTTTTGATCAATCTCTATAAAAGGGACCCTCTTGAACATAATAGAACACAGAAAAAATAGTGAGCAAAAGCTACTGATTTGAGAGAAAATGGGCGTGTAAAAAGTTTTTGAAGGCTAAAAAAAGGTTTAGAAGTGTTCTGGAAATTAGCAAAAATTTTTTGGAGATTTTTGGAGATTTTTTTTTGGAAATTTCTGGAAAAATTTCATATTTCGGTTGAATTTTTTGACGAAAGTTACATTTTTCGACGATGATTCCAGCCAACTTTGAAGTTTTCGATGAGCTGCCCAGTTTTCGTTGAAGGATCCTAGAAATCGATCAACTTTTCGGTGAACTTCCGACGAAAAACTCAGATTTCGACGAAAAAATTCAAAATCCGGTGAACATTCAATTGGAGTTTTTCGGCCTTTTAGAGAGAAGCGAGAGAAAAAAAGAAAAAGAGAGAGAGAGAGAGGGGAGAAGGTTTCTGTCGAAAAACAGAGGGAAAAACTTTATATACCATTCCAAAACGACGTCGTTTTTGCCTTAAGTGACACAGAGGATCTGTGTATTTTATCGAGATCTGACCCGACCCAAGCATCGACCCGCTTCTTGACCCGCGTGTGTCTCCCCCTTCCGAGCCGATAGCCGAGTCGAGCCGAGGTCCTAAGCCGTTTCTTCGAGCCGTTTTCTCTTCCTTGAGTCGAGCCGAGCCAAGCCGTACTTCGAGCCGCTTCAAGTTTTTTTTGAATTTGTTTATTTATTTATTTATTTTATTTATTTTATTTATTAGATTTGGTTTATTTAATATTCTTTTTATCTTTATTTTATTTTTATTTTTGTTTTACTTTTCTTTATTTTATTTTATTTTTATTTTTATTTATTTTCACTTTTATTTTGTTTTATTATTCTATTTTCTTTAAATAAAAATAAAAAAAATATTTTTGAGGAAAAGTTGAAAGTATCAATTTTTCTTAAAAATAAATTTTCAAAAAAAAAGTTTTTGAGAAAAAGTTGAAAGTATTAATTTTTCTTGAAAATCAAAGTTTTCAAAGAATATTTTTGGGAAAAAGTTGAAAGTATCAATTTTCCTTAAAAATAAATTTTCAAAAAAGGGTTTTGGAGGAAAAGTTAAAAGTATCAATTTTCCTTGAAAATCAAGGTTTTCAAAAAATATTTTAGAGGAAAAGTTGAACGCATCAATTTTTCTTAAAAATAAATTTTAAAAAAAAAATCAATTTTTGAGGAAAAGTTGAAAGTATTAATTTTCCTCGAAATTAAAGTTTCAAAAGAATATTTTTGAGAAAAGTTGAAAGTATTAATTTTTCTCGCACAAAAAAAAAACAATCATTCTTTTATTCCTTTTTATTTTTTTATGTTAAATAATCCGACGATGGAGCCTCTGTAAGTGAAACAATAGTTTTCTTATATACTCTTGAGGTGAGGGGATTTTTTCAATTTTTTGCTAAAAGTATTAGAGTTAATTGAAAATAATTTTCAATAATTAATTACTTGATAAAATTTTTAAGGCTCATTGGATAACACAAATTTAAGCTGGTACCATATTTTGATGGGCGTTGTGAGGGTGCTATAACCTTCCTCACACGTAATCGAACTCTCGAACTTTGTTTTAGTTAGTAGACCTGAACCTATTCTTTTAGGGACCCTTAAACTTAGGTGTTCCCTGAAAGGACAGATTCTTTAGGTGGTCAATCATACCTAGATAAAAAAGATTGGTGGCGACTCCCTTAAGTCAATGTCGAGCGATAGATCCCCGGATCTAGACGTTATGACAGCTCGACGACTCCGCTGGGGATTTTGAGAGTCAGGCCAGCAAATAATTTGTGTTATCCAAAAGCCTAATAAAATTGAACCTGTTTGTATATATGTGTTATTATTCATTCATGTTTATTTACCTTGTTAACTATGTCATTCATATGCATGTGCATAACATGAGCTCTACATCCGAGCTTCGTCCCTCTAGGAGGGAGTAAAGTACCTATTGCTTTCGTGAGGTCTAATGCCTCTGCAGTGGCTAGCGAAATACTTCCACTCAAATTGAACATTTTCCACTTGTAGCCTGTAATGGGTGAGGATTATGGTGCTTTACTAGTCTATGATGGACAAAGATGTAAGGAGCAATTTGAGGACCTTTAGACTTTGACCTTAAAACCGCATATAGTGAACCTTAGAAGTGCCTAACCCTAATATAGAGCCATTTCTACCTAATTATATATATATCCTGAAATTAGGACACAGAAAGGGTGTTTATCTAATCATTTTGATTGTTTAACTTTGTGCATCATTTTCATTATCATATGTAACATTATGCATCAGCATCACTTTCATTTCATCTATGGAACTAATTATGTTATTTGTCTAATTGAATGCATCTGCATTATTTTTATGATCATGTTTTAACATAATCATTTGCATCCATTTAGATTTCATTCAGAAAAATGTACATTTCATTCGTGCATCAAAGCGTCATACATAAAGCATAGCATAACATTTCTAATCATAATTATGGTGCTAAAGGTTCAAGGATAGCTCCATCTAGTAAGAACTCTGCCCATTGATACAACACAAGATCCAGAGCCAGACGAATGGAGCAAAAAAATTCTCACAGATTCGAAAAGATAGAAAAAGCACAGGAAAAGATTGAAAGTGAGTTAAGTAAGATTTTAGATGCTTTTAATAGACTGAATAAGGGAAAATGAGTTGAAGAAGATACAAGCCAACAAGTTTCCCTACTGTAAGAAGTGGCTGACCCTTTATATCCTCCAGGCTTTGACCCACCTCAAGCCCAGTCTGCTCAAGAGGTCCTGCCACAATACTTCGTATATCCAACATATCCTAGAATGTCATCAGCTTTCAACCTAAGACAGTATAATAGCTATGTAAATCATGTCTTCACTGAAAAGACAGCAAAACCAATTTCTGATCTAGATGATTTAAATGAGAAGGAGAAAGAAAAGATAAGAGTGGAAGTTCAGGAAAGCTTCAAGATTAGTATGCTAGAGCAAAGGTTACGGGTTGTGGAAGGATTTAGCTTTTATGGGTCAGTTGATGCTGCTGGGCTCTGCCTAGTCCCGGATGTGGTTATTTCCTATAAGTTCAAAGTACCAAAATTTGAAAAATATGATGGTACAAAGTACCCCAAAACTCACATCACAATGTATTACCGAAAGATGGCAGCTCATGCTCATGATGAAAAACTCTTGATGCATGTCTTTCAGGATAGGCTTATAGGTTCAGCAGCCAGGTGGTATGTTCAGCTGGACAGAACCTGTATTCACTCTTGGAGTGATATGACACATGATTTCATCGGTCAGTATCGACATATTATCAATTTGGCCCCTGATCATTTGTCTTTACAGAATCTGAAGAAAAAGGTAAACGAGTCTTTTAAAGAGTATACCCAGAGGTGGAAGGATGTTACTTCTCAAGTACAACCTCCTTTGACTAAGAAAAAAACTACAGTGTTATTTGTCAGCATTTTGAAGTCTCCCTATTATGAAAATATGATAGGAAATATAACAAAGAATTTTGTTGACATGATAATCTCTGGAGAAATTATTGAAAGTGCCATAAAAAATGGTAAGTTGAAAGGATGAGAAACCAAAAAAGCATCAGAAAAGAAAGAAGCTGAAGCTCAAGCTGTGAGCTTTGATAAACAACAATTTAGGGGTTATCAACCCTATCCATCCCAAGGTTACTCTCCATACTATCCTGCTGTGAATAATGCCTCATCTTACCCATACTGGCTAGCTCCATAACCACCTTATTCATTCACATACCGATCAATTTTTAGCCCTCAAGATCTTACATATAACCTTAACATTCAAGCTCCTGCAAGAACTCAAATTTGCCCTATTAACCTAGCAAGTGGTTCACGAGAACAACGGACTACTCGAGAAAAACCTATATTTGATCCAATCCCTATGACTTATACAGAGTTATATCGAGAACTCTTTAATAGTCATTTGATTGCCCTCATCTATGTGGAGTCGTTTAAATCACCCTATCTAAAGTGGTATGATCCTACAACCCACTACGACTATCACTATGGAGTTACTGGCCATTTTACTGAAAATTGCACTGCTTTAAAGCATAAGGTGCAACGGTTGATCAATAATGGAATGGTAAGTTTTGATCAAGAGAAAGCAACAACACCTAATGTTAGCGTTCTGAGTGAAAGTCAAGAACAGAAAGGGTCCGGAGAGTCATAATGAATTGAGGGGTAAGATGTCAATAGAGATTCTTCACCTGATCGCATAGGGAGATAATTTTTAAGAATGGAGATAAGGTTGGTTGAAGGTTTTTTTTGTCATTTTAAGATTTCTTTTCGAGTAATGTTAGATTTCTTTTTTACAATATGACTTCAATTATTATCATCTTAATAAAGGCAAGTTAATGCATTTCATTATATTTTTCTCTTTCACTTGAC